GGCCTAGCCTAGTCTAGTTAGGGTGGGGGTGGTGGCTAGCCCTCGGCGGCCCTACCCTACGTAGGCCTAGCAATTTTGCGCCAAAGATTGCTATGAAGATGATGCACAAAATCGTACCTTACTAATCTAGGCCTGTACTACTTCTTAGGCCTAGCAGCAGCAGTTCTGGGGTCTACTATCTACACTACTAGGCCTAAATCTTATGCATTCGCCGTAAATGCTAATCACATGTTTCAGCTAGTATTTGCTTTGGAACCTACCAAGCACCCTCTTTTACTCCTGGGTGGAGGCAATGACTAACTAGTGTAGAATAATTGTTACACAGTATTTTCGTACTGTATAACATTGTAAATACTTTTTTGAAATAGTCATTTTCTTGAATTTTCCTGAGCACCGACATCTGAAACCTTGCAGTGATGGGCTTGTTAGTCATTTGCAAGATGTAACCACGTAAACGGACATGCAAATAGATTTCTCCAACCATAGACACCAGAAAAAATATGTTGAAATACAAACTACACTAGTGAAGTTATTGAATAGCTCTTACAAGTTACTGTAACTTCGATTTTTTAATTTTATCTCAGAACCTACATAGCAGCTTTGCAAACCAGGGAGGAGATCTTGAGAACTCTTTGTGGTTCTCTCTTGCCAAAAAGACTGGGTAGCTGAAAAAAATCTTGTCAAGTCTACATTCGGTAAGATAACTTTTCAAAAAAATAATTTGTGCTTACCCATTTATATGTTATACTTGTTGAAGTATTTCAATGCATTTATAAGCAATTTCCACCATTTAAGTTAATACAGTATATATCAGCATTTGGGTCAGGCATTTCATGTGTTATAATATGTGAATGTTGTCTATCTTTGCAGAATACACTGCGAACATAATTGAAATGGCTCTGTACAACATGGCAAAAAGTAATATGAAAGAGTTTTTTACACTGCTGAAATAATGTGCGATCCAGGAACAATTGCTGGGAAATTACCGAAACCAGACAAAAATCAGTTCGTGTCCAGTTTACTCAGCCGATTCAACAGAAATTAAATACTGTATAGCCATACAGTAACATGACCATGTTACACTTTTTTTTATAAGAGCCATTCAAATTATGCCCAGGCTCACTGTTATTATTTTTGCTGATTCCAGCATTGCTCTATTTCCATTTACAGAAAATTGTTATTGTACAGCAGTATATTACTGTGCTATAAACGTTATAAGATCGTTATCGTTGAAGTATAAACAGGCCTTTATCCTCAACCTGGGCTTCAATATTTGGAAAAGCTTTTGGTTTGTACCCGATTGTACTTTAAACATTTCTTATGAGGTAGTTCTTGTTATCTTGCATAGTAAAATACCTACTACATGTCTTGTGACATGTTTCCAAACTACATCTTCCACGTTGTATTAACAAATTTTACCCACTTATTAAATGTTTCTATATCTTTTTTGGAAAGAGAACAAAAGATAGTTTCTGGTGACTAAATTGCATTCTGATGTGTTGAATTTGTGTAGAAAAAAATCATGGAAAATAATTTTATATAACCAATTATGTTATTTACTAAGATAATTCATATATAAGGGTTTTTTGAAATGATAATACTGTTAGTGCAATAAACAAGCAATTACCATTAATAATTTTTTAAACAAGTTAAATTGGATAACAATTATATTTATTATTACATGTACTAATCTTTACATTTAATGATAATAAAGCATGCTTTAGCATGAATACTGCAATCATAATCTAACTGTAAATTAGTGGAGTGGGAAGTGTCTTCACTTTGTTTCAGTACTTAGCAAAGGTTGTCCCATTTTGTGAAAAAATAATAAGAGTTCGTCAGTGTTAAATAATATCATGAGAGTCTCTTGTAGCATGAATACTGCAATAGTAATCAAACAAGTATTTCAGTAATCAAATTGTAAATGATTTTAATTGAATTGCAATTATACAGTATATAGTACAGTAGTAATACTACTTACATTTAAAAAAAAAAGACATGCATATTGTTTTTAAGGTTGTTGGACATACTGTATTACTAAAATAAATATGCTATTATGAAGCACACAAAACCTGGTATAGTGTAATGCCTTAATTTTGTTAATAAATAGGTGCCTAGTATCGTCAGGAAAATTGAATCATACAATTTTACATCCTACACTGTATTGTTTGCTCTGTAATTCATAAGCTATTGGAATTATGCTTTACATCTAGTCTATTTTATAAACATAGTGAATGATACGCAGATTGTATAGGCCTATTTATGAACAAAAAACACCTGAATTTCAGGGCATTCTATATTATATAGTTGAATTGCATTGTAATTAACCAAAAATAAATTATTGTTAAAATATACAATTTTAATAGATAAAATTAATTTAACACAGACATAGTAATTCATACTGGCAATACATTAACATAGCTACAGCATGAGGAGCCTCTGGTCAAAGGAGAAGCTAAAATTCACCTGTCTGGGGAGGATATTTAAACTCTGTGTAGTTGGCACTTGGTTCAGGAAATGCCTCGTGTATGGACTTCATTACACGACATCAGCACTCGCCTGTCTTTGCCAAGATAACCACAGCACCAACGTACAAATTGCTGATAGGCTGTATACCTGTAACGCCTGGAAAAAAAAAATTGTGAAGCAATATTTTTTGTGTGTGAGGGGAAGAGAAAACAGGAATTAAAGCATAACTACACCTCATAAATAGTAATCAGATTTAATAAAATATTTTATTGGTCAATTCTACTTGTAAGCAGTGGGGTATTTTGCAAGACTTGCATGTAAGTCCACACACGAAGAAAAAGTAAGGCACCACCCAAAATATTAACTAATGTATGCCTAATAGAACAAAAATATATGTTGATGTTTGCGGTACACCACATAGGCAGTTTTGAAAAGAACTGTTGTAGTTAAGAAACTCTCAACGTTTTGATTGAGTTGCTTCAGTCATCTTCGGGAGAATAATACCTGCAGAAATTGCAACAGGGAAATACTTATATGTTTGAGTAGAGAAGTACAAAAATAATTCATCTATGTATTCTTTACCTTTCGACTCCCCCTTCGGTCACAGGCTCCTGGTATTGTGAAACATACTGCCAATATGCAATTTGTAGTGTTACAGGATTTAAGATGGCTGGTTCAAACCAAGGATGTGTGGTAATGCACCCATTGTGGTATGGCTCTTCATTGTTTTTTTGCGTAACCTTTTCAATCTGTTAAAAAAAGATGGAACATGAATTCATGAAAACTTAAAAAATATTTAATCTGCAATACAACACAGGTAATGTAATACACGCCTTTTCCACAGTGCAGTAGTACTAGTAGTACACTAGACTAACATTGCTTTACAGTATTTACCATATGAGAGTTTCCTGTGTTAAAAACATGATTTATACTACACTTATTGATACTTGTACTTTATAATAAGAGAAATCTCATAT